ACACATTTTGGGGCCCATAAAGCTTAAGGACTTGAGCAGATGTTTGTCACTTATCTAACTTAATATTTACATTCTTTCTCGCTAATCCTTAGCTAGTTAAAAAGTTGTAAGACTAAATTAATAGCACTGGAAGAGAAGAAAACCCAAATGGGAAACAATTCCATGGGATGGTGATTTAGACATTTTTTTTTTTTGGTCCAGGAACGATTGTTACAAAGTTATTACTACATAGATAATCAGTACAAGGCAAAAATAAAAATTTAAATGGTAAAATAAACAGCAAATTACAGATAATATAGTACAGTATCTTACTAATACATTTATAGGTGGTTGTGTTAGTTACTTTTCTGTTGCTGTGATAACACACCATAACCAAGGCAATGTATAGAAGGAAGAATTTATTTGGATTATGGTTCCAAAATGGCAAGAATCCATCATGGCAGGGGAGGCATTGGTGGCAGAGGTGGCTGGAACAGAGAGCCAAGCAATCACATCTTCAGGCAGGCACAGGAAGCAGAGAGTGACTGAAAATCTGGCAAGGCTAGAGAACTCTCAAAGCCTTCCCCCAGTGCCATCCTTCCTCCAGTAAGGCCACACCTCCTAAAAGCTCTCAAAATAGTGCCACCAACAAAATGTCCAAATACTCAGGGTTACGGAGAACATTCTCATTTCAACCATCATATTCCATTCCCTGGCCCCCACAGGCTCATGACCATATAAAATGCAAAATGCATTTAGTCCACCTTCAAATGACCCCATAGTCTTTCCCAGTCTCAACAATATTCGACAGTCCAGAGTCTAAAGTGTCTTGTGAGACTCAAGGCAATCTTTTAATTGCAACCCCTGAAAAACCAAAAGGCAAATTACATACTTCCAACATACAATGGAACCAAATGCACATTCTCATTCCAAAAGGGAAGAATGGAGATATACTGAGGAAATCCTGGACCAAAACAAGACTGAAAACCAGCAGGGAAAACACCAAATCCACTCATTCAAGTCCAACTTCTGGGACTTTTCTTCCAAAGAGCTTAGATGGCTCAATCCCTCCAGCTTTGCTGTGTACAACATCTCTCTCTTGGGCTGGTACCACTCCCTGGCAGCTCTCCTTGACAGAAGTCTCATGGCTCCAGCATCTCCAGTGTCTTGAGGTCTCCACTGCCAACCAGACTTAACCTTCACAGCTTCTCAAAATGGTCTTCCAGGGTCTCTTGGCCTGTCAGGAACTATATGCAGGGACACCCTTGCTGTATGTTGCCTCAGCAACTCTTTGAAACCATGGAGGAGAAGTGATGACTCCTTCACTCTTGCATCTGTCGTGCTTCTAAAGTCAGCATGTGAACAACACTAGCAAGTTTGGCTGCCAGCTTGAGATGGACCCTGGCCTGCTTCATCCAAATTAGCAGCTTTTCTATGCTGTAGTTTTCTAGGATCAGAAAACTCCTCCAGCATTTTCCTTTTACAAATTGGAAACTTAGCTGGGTGTGGTCTTGCTCTCAAGGTACTCTTTCCATTGTTTAGCTGCAAATCTGTAGGCTGATCCTTAATGACTCTAATCTCCTTATCAAAGAGAGCCTCTCCTTCAGGGCATTCCTAGGCTCCAACATTAATCTTCCTACTGTTCTTTTTCAATCCGAGCTATACATTCTGCATTTCTTTCTGCCCCACTTGCTCTTTTTCTTTGTAGATCTCCATAATGTTTGCCATTAATAACCATGGTATCAATTCAACATTAGGCTGTCTTGAAATCTCCTCCACCAGAGAAATTAGTCCATTACTAAGGCAAGATTTTAGGTTGTGTGCAGATGGCAGCCAGATGCTTTGCCGAAACATCCCAGTTGCTGTTTAAGTCCTTATTTCCCTCTGGAACTACTTTGCTCTCAGCATTACTTACTTTTAGGCTCCTACTAGAATGACCTGTTAATCTCTGCTTATAGCATTTAACCACTTTTCTAGTCCAAACTTCCAATGTTTTCCACATTCTTCCAAAAACTCCACATGGTCAGGTTCATCACAGCAATACCCCACTCCTGGTATCAACTAACACAGAAGTATTAGTTACTTTTCTGTTGCTGTGATAAGATACCACAACCAAGGCAACTTATAAAAAGAGTTTATTTGGCTTACAGTTCCAAAGGTGTAAGAGTTCATCATGGCAAGGGAGGCATGGTGGCAGAGGGGGCCAGAGAAGAAAGCTGAGTAATCACATCTTCCAGCAGGTACAGGAAGTAGAGAGTGACTGGAAATCTGGAAAAGCTTAAGAATGTTCAAAACTCACCCCCAGTGATATGCTTCCTCCAGCATGGCCACACCTCCTAAAGCCTCTAAAAAAAAGCACCACCAACTGGGGACAAAATGTCCAAATACTTGGAACCTACAGGGGACATTCTCATTCAGTCCAACACAGTAGTATAGTATAAATTTGTGTTTTATGAAAAAGGGTGTTCAGTTTGTTGGTGAATTCTGTATTTGTAAATGGCATGTCTTTCCTCTGTCTGCATTATGGCTTTTAGCTTTCATGCCAGTGCATGTATCCTATGGTGGACCTTGGATGTGGGCAACTGCTAACATTCCTTATCTTTCTCATCTTTTCTTTCTTTCTTTCTTTCTTTCTTTCTTTCTTTCTTTCTTTCTTTCTTTCTCTCTCTCTCTCTTCCCCTCCCTCCCTCCTTCCTTCCTTCCTTCCTTCCCCATTTCCTCTCTCCTCTCCCTTCTTCCCTTCTTCCATCTCTCCTTCCTTTCTTCTTTCCTTCTTTCTTTGCAATGCTGTGAGTCAAACCTAGAGCTTTGCACATACTAGGTACATGCTCTACACTGAGCTACAGCCCCAGTGCCTGTGTCCACTTCTTCTTCCACATGAAAAAAGTTAATCAGAATGCATTGAGAGTGAAGGTATTATAAAAATAATCTAACCTTGATTGCCCTCTGCTTTGTTCAATGTAAAAATTCTTTGCTAAGCCTTGCTATGTTAACTTAGTTACAAATGACCTGGATGACAGCTTACAAATAATAGGGAGCAGTTCAAAGCTGCTGGTCTAAGTCCCAAGCAGTACCTGGTGAACATCAGTTCTACATATATTTAGCTATCAGTGAGTCTGTATAAAAGGAAAAGAGGGCAAGAATATGCAAACATTAGAGAGGTATTATATACTTTATCAAGTACTGGCAGCTTTAAGTACACTTAGTAACATAAAAAGCACTACTCTTAGATAGATGATGAGACCTGTGATGGAAAGGAACCAGACTCATCATGATCATATTCTCCAAATAATAAATCAAGAAACATGGTTTGTGCACCACAAATGCTTTAACTAATTTTCACGTAAAATGTCACTACAAGGCACTTATATTGCCTGACTTAGATAGTGGTTCCAAGTACAACTTTGTTTTAGATGCATAGTACATTTTTCTTACTTCAGCATAAAGTGGCCTATGCTGTATACTTTCTTTTTCTGACAAAGAAGTCTGAAAATCAAAAGAAGAAAACTCACAGCAGCTATGGTTACTTATACAAGAGCTGCAAAAGATCAAGCCAGAAAGGTCAGTCAACATCCCATCAGGCAGAACGAATTGGACTCAATGGATTACAAAAATTAAAAATAACAAAGAGGACATGAAGGTGGGAGGGGATGTCAGGGAATTGGAAGGAGGAGGTGGGGTGGGTATGATCAAGATACGTTGGGTATGTGTACGGAATTGTCAAAGAATAAATGAAAAACATTCATTTTTTGTTAGTTTTGTTTTGGCAATAGGGTCTCCTGCTAGTCCCAGCTGGCCTGGAACTGGCTACGTACACTTTGATCTTCCTGCCTTTGTCCCCTGAGTGCTGGGATTAAAAGCCTGTGCCACCATCCCCAGCACAATAAAAGATATTATTTTGAAAAAAAATCCAAGAAATGGTTAGGCATGGTGGCTCAGGCCTAAAGTTACAGGTACTTAGGAGGTTAAGCCAAGAGGAACACAGTTGAAGAGCTGCCTAAGCTATGGAGACATTCAAGCAAGGCCAACCTGAGCAACTTAGTGAAACTCTGTCTCAAAATAAGGAGTAAAAGGAGGGTCAAAGAGATGGTTCAGCAGTTAAGAGCACTGGGTGCTCTTGCAGAGGACCCTCCTTTGGTTCCCAGCACCCACATGTTGGCTAACAACCATTCACAGCTCCAGTTGCAGGGGATCTGACACCCTCTTCTTGTTTCCAGAAGAACTGTATGTACTTGTTGCATTTACATACAGTTAGACAAAACACATAAAAAATATTTTTTTAAGTTTAAAAAAGTAAAAAGAATAAAAGCAGTAGGGTATTTGCCTAGCATTCATGAAGTCCTTGATTGAATCTCCAGTTCTCTCTCCATATATAATCAGAGCAGGTGTCTAGCAGATGAACTCAATTGCTCTAAATGCTGCTGTTTCAGAACATCATCTGATGCACACATTCCCATCAGCTCCTTTGTCAAATCCTGGCTCAGGGAAGGTCACTGTATTCCAATGAATGTTTTTGAACTCTGTGATAGTCATTTACGTTCTAGACTTGAGGAATTTATGATCCTGCTTTTAAAGAGCCAAGCTCAGACAAAGACTGCAGGACATCTGCTTCAGTCTCTCCTTTTAAGCTATGGGGAAAGGAGCCCAGGGAGAGGTAGGCAGGGAGTGTGAAGCTCAGTCAACAGGAGCCCACTCTCATCTGGCATGCACCAGGCTGTCTGCAGAGACCAGGTGGAGGCTGTGGGAGAAGTGAAGAGGAAACGAAACAGTTACAACTGTGGGGAGAAAAGTGGGTTTAAAAAACCAACTTACTGATTTTTGGAAGTCTTTCTGGGTCCTGTAAGCAGAGTGTTAATCTAATCTCAAGAAAATCTAAGGTAGGTGAGAACAAGGATCCTGTTTGTGGCAGAACTACCTTGAGGACCCAGATAATCCTTCAGGTACACTGAAGCATAATAAAGAAGATAAGTAACATTCAAAATCGAAAAGACCATAAACTCCTTCTTTTTTCTTTTTTTAAGGGCAAAATAGATGAACAGGATGGAAAATATGTTATTCTGGTTGATACTTTCCACCCCTGGATGGACCCTTTCCAGTGGGTCTGAAACGCAAGCGGATTATACGTGGCACTTGAACAGAATACCCCAGGTCGTGAATGAGAGAACTGTCCACCTGGCGAGCCCCGCGTTTCAGGCAGATGTGGAGATGCCGGTGGCTCCAGCGTGCGGCATCGAATGTCAGGAAGGGCTCCCAGGGCCCAGCCTTTCCCAGCTGGAAGACTCCCTTTCCTATGAGACAGTCTTTGAGAATGGTACCCGAACCTTAACCAGCGTGAAAGTTCAAGGTCTGGTCCTGGAGCTCACTCAAAATAGCAGCACCAAATCGGCACGCATTAGGAGAAGAAGGCAGGTGTATGGCACCGACAGCAGGTTCAGCATCTTGGACAAAAGGTTCTTGACCAATTTCCCTTTCAATACAGCGGTGAAACTGTCCACCGGCTGCAGCGGCGCCCTGGTTTCCCCCAACCACGTGCTCACAGCTGCTCACTGCATCCATGACGGGAAGGACTACGTCAAAGGGAGTAAAAAGCTGAGGGTAGGAATGCTGAAGATGAGGAATAAAGGAGACCGCAAAAAACGCAGAGGTCCTAAGAGGGGCCGGAGGGAAGCCGAGGGTGGTGGCCAAAGCGATGGTGGTGAGGGGCATCTGCAGGAAAGCGCCAACCGGAGACACAAGAAAGAATCAGGGCGGAGTCCGAGGGTTGCCCAGGGGAGCCCCTCCTTCCAGTGGACTCGAGTCAAGAGCACCCACATTCCCAAAGGCTGGGCGAGGGGAGAGAATGGGGACCCAGCCTTAGACTACGACTATGCGCTCCTGGTGCTGAAGCGCCCTCACAAGCTGCAGCACATGGAGCTGGGTGTCAGCCCCACCATCACCAAGCTGCCCGGAGGCATCATCCACTTCTCCGGATTCGACCATGACAGGGGCGATCAGTTGGTCTATCGGTTTTGCAGTGTTTCTGAGGAGTCCAGTGATCTCCTGTATCAGTACTGTGATGCTGAGGCAGGCTCCACAGGCTCTGGGATCTACCTGCGCCTGAAAGAGCCAGACAAAAAGAACTGGAAGCGCAAGATCGTGGCCGTCTACTCTGGCCACCAGTGGGTGGATGTGCATGGGGTTCGGAAGGACTACAATGTAGCCGTGCGCATCACTCCACTCAAGTACGCCCAGATTTGCCTCTGGATCCACGGAAATGCTGCCAATTGCGCTTATGGTTGAGGGAAAACTGATGCAAGTTCCTGTACATCCTTAACAGAAGAGAAAGCCAGCCTTGTTTGTGAGACCACCTCACAAGACCATGCCTGAACGTAAACCTAAAAATAATATACTTTTTTTTACAAATATACTTTATCAAAATTAGTTTACTTTCATACAATTATAAATTCATAGTTTAGGTGCAGATATTGAAACCAGATGGGCACCACAATGCCAAGTATGTGCTCTACCTGGTGCTGTTCCGTTTGGGGGAAAATGTTTGTTTACTTAGGCATCTTTGAAAGTAAATACTCTTTAAAGCTCCAAACCGATCCTGTAGCATGTAACTTCTCTATGAGTTGTTCTTAGGGTCCTACTCTAGTCCAGTAGGGTGTAGTTATGCGAAGAACATGACAGGTGTAGTTATGCAAAGAACGTTACAGGAATATACAAAGGTTCACAGTAACACAGTTAGAATCAGGTAGAGGACATTTATTTAGCTCACATTGCTCTTGATGGATCTACTCCATTCCTGCCCTCAGTGTTTATATGTGTTTTCTCTTGGGTTTGAGAAATTCAGTTCTTTTTTTTTTTAAGAATTATAAATCAAAAACGAATAAAAATTTCAAATCAAAAGAGTGAGCTTTATAAACAATTTAAAACTATTAAATACTGCTTTAGAAACAGCAACAACAGTATCTGTTTTAAAATTCAAGAAGTGCTTCGTTCTGTGAAATAAATTTATAGGTTTTCAGTTTAGAAATAGGGAAGCTGAGACAGTTTAATATCTCAAGTTTCCATTTGGCAGAGGGAAGACATTTTGTGAGCTACAGCGCTGTGTTGAAAGCCACATCCCTTTATGCCCCACATTGGACTGTGTATGAGGTGCTATAGTTTTAACACAACATAAGGAATTCTCTATGTGTTTTCAAAGGAGAATGTCCCCCTCAGCCTTTTAAAAAAGGTTCTGGTTGTTCTCATCAGACACCAAGGAGGCACCTACACTCTGCTTCCCCTGTTGCTTTACATAAGCAGCTAGTGACCACCCTAGAGCAAAATGCAGAGCAGGCACTTAGTGCATATCTCATGAACAAAAAGTATGCTGTGAATGGTTATAAACAGGGGTTTGTTCAGGGCATTGTATCTAAAGAGTTTTAATGATAGTCAAGTACACTCTAAAATTCAGTAATCATAGGCCTGGACTATTCTTCCTGGCAATTTCTAGAACTACATATTTTTCTCTCATGACACAATTCACTTCTAGAGTAAAACATTTGTTTTTACAAATGTCCTAAAATAATGATGATTATAGTATTGATTACTATGCAAAGGAATATCTTTTATAGGTTTTCATTAAGTGATTTTGTAAATGGTGCTCAAAATAGCTAGCATTCTTTTATAATGTGAGTTGTTAAAAATAATTCAATAAAATTAAAAAATAAATCTGTTGTGACTTACTGTGTTTGTAGATAGGCCTCTGTTAAAGAGCTTTGGCAAATGTTACATTAACTATGATTGAACTAAAGAGTAATTGTCTTTAATGCTCAGCTCACAGAGCAGCTTTTTGATACTGCTTCTAGTGGACTAGGACCTCAGACTGAAAAATGGATGTTTGCTTTTAGTTGATTTGGTTCATGTTGTATGATGTGTATACAGTCATGGTGGGGGTTACTTTTCTTGCTGTGATAAAATACCTGACAAAAGCAACTTCAGGGAGGAAAGGTTTGTTTTGACCACAATATGAGGGCACAATCTTCACGCCAGCAGGAGCTTCAGGCAGGTGGTCATCACATTTCATCCCTAGTCAGGAAGCAGAGAGGGATGAATGCTACTGCTCAGTTCACTTTCTCCTTTTTAAAAAATTTCATTTATAATTTTTATTGTAGGTGTATGCATGTATTGTTTGCATGTAGGTAGGTTCACCCGTGTTGTGCAGTGCCTGTGGAGGTCAGAAGAGGGTGAGGGTGTCAGATCCCTTAGAATTGGAGTTAATGGATGATTGTTAGCCCTCATTTGGGTGCTGGGAATTGAACCCATGTCCTCTATAAGACCAGCCAGTGCTCTTAACTGCTGAGCATCTCTCCAGCCTACGCTTTCTCCTTTTTATTCAGTCCAGGACTACAGCCTGTGGAATGGTGCCACCCATAACTAATGTGGGTCTTCCATTGCAATTAACCTAGATTACCCATCACAGGCATGGCTACAGGATAGTCTACTCTAGTGGTCTGTTTGTACTTTCCAAAGGATTTACCTAATCGTCACAAGTAAGGATGGAAAATTTAGCTTGGATGATGGTTTCAGTCTGTGGTCACTTGGCTGTATGTTTCTGGCCCTGTGGTGAGGCAGTGCCTCCTGGTGAATAGGCATGGTGGAGGACAGCTGCTCACCTCATGGCAGTCAGGAAGCAGAGAGTGAGCCAGGAAGGGGCCAGGGAGAAGACTCAAAATTGCCACTAGCTGGGAACCAAGATTTTAACACAGGAGCCTTTGGAGCGACACCCCATATTCAAACCATAATAGTTGGTTACCAACATTTTGGGTCTCTGATTTCAATATGTCATTCATAGGTTATGGTGTCTTGATCATGTATTTCTTTGAGTTTTTCTTTTGAGAGACTATTTGACGTTAAACAGATGACTGAATGCAATAAAAAGTTTCAAGAAATTATGGACCATCGGGGAGTCTGCTATTGCAAATATCAGGGGAACAGTAGCCAAGGGTTTAGAGTACACTCTTTAGCCAGGTTTAGCAGGAACCAAATCAACTAAAAGCAAACAGACCAAAGAGCCAGATGAGGGGCCTACACATTTTAACCAACTAAAATGTTCAGTAGATTTTGTGACTAAGTCTCTATACAATATCTGATATAGGTATTTATAGGCAACAAGAAGTGTCAGCAGCAGCACAGTTCTTCCATAATTAATTAGTAGGCAGTGATTCTGCCATTTATCATCTGAGGAAAGGGTTCAGTTGAAGCAGAGAGTGTCAAGTCTATAAAACACCACAGGGACAATTTTGAACAGACCATTATATTAAGAATGCTGTTGAAGTTGAGGTAGATTCCTGATCTCTCTCCATGGCATCCCTTCAAGTGGTTGTTCAGTGACACAAAAACAATTTTCACCACTGTGCTGGATAGCTTTAGTTGTTAATTTGACACACCTGGAATGAGGGAGCCTCAATTTGGGGAAATTCCTCCATTGGACTGGCCTTTGGCCATGTCTGTGTTTGGCATTTTCTTGATTGTTGAGTGATGTGGGAGGACCCAGCCCACTGTGGGCAGTACCACTCCTGGGCAGCTTGTTCTGTGTTGCTTAAGAAAGCATGCTGAGCAAGCCAGAAAGCAGCTATTCTTCAGGTTCCAGAACTGATTTCCTGCCTTGGTCTCCCTCAGCAACAAACTATGACCCTCTAGATGGATGATAAAATAAACCCTTTCCTCCCCAGGTTGGTTTTGGTCAGAGTGTTTTGTCATAGCAACTGAAAGGAAACTAGAACAAATGCTTAAGTATTATTTAGTTCTTATAATGAATTCAGGGACTGGTTAGATGACTCAGCAGGTAAAGGCACCTGCTGTGTAAGCCTAATGACCTGAGGTTAATCCCTGGGACCCACATGGTGAAAGCAGAGAACCAACTCTCAGAAGTTGTTCTCTAATCTCCACACATGTACCATGGCACTCACCTCCCCACCTACACATACACCACACACACACCAAATATAAATACAAAATTTAATGTAGAAACATAATTATTATAGTTTGAATTACAGCTTGTTATATACTATAAAAACGTTACTGTTAAGCATTTTACTAGTAAGTAGCCTTATACTAGTAAATAAAGCATTAGTGCCAGCAATGTGGCTCAGTTTTTGACACCTGTCTACCCTCTGCAAGGCCCTGGGTTCCATCCCTCAACACTACAAAAAATAAACAGCATCCCTAAACAGAACCATAGTCATTAAGAATGTGTAATAAAGCAATTGGACCAAACACTGAACACTGGCAGGATGAGGAATTACAGATGAAAGTGACTTAAAAATAGCATTAGAATTCCCAAATGTAGACTCCCCATAACAAATATATTTTGGCTCTCAGATTTTGTAAAGTATCTACCAAGCTTGAAAACTTTTTATAAAAACTACTTTTATGAAAACTGATCAGCAAAATCATTTCCAGTTAACTAATAGAAGAACCTTTATAAACTGGATGTGTAGGCACAGACCCAAATCCCAGCATCTGAGAGACTGAGGCAGAAGGATCCTGAGTTTGAGCCTAGCTGTGGCCGCATAGCAAACCCCATCTCCAAACCACAAAATCATTACACAATGAAACCAAACCAACGAATCAAGCAATGAAAATGAAGCAAAGCAAGAACCTTTTAAAATGAACATCTCTCCAGCTTAGTAACTGCTTTTCCTTCTATGGCTAAAGCACAAGGTTCAGGTTTGGTCTAATTCTGTCCTTACCAAATGGGGGCTAATCCTGTCATCATAAAATCTTGTCCTTATCAAACAGGGTCAACATATAGGAAGATTCATGAATCTTTATTGATGTGCTAGTCAGTTAAAACACTCTCTGGTAGTTCTCTCTTTATAGTCTAGGTAAGAAATTCTTTTTTCTTTCATGTACTTGAAAACCTGCAGTTTGATCCAATTAGACAAAATGACTTATAATTCCAACCTGCGCTGATTTACTTCATCCACAGGTTAAGGAGGTATCTTAGTCTGCTCGCTGCCATAAAAAAATACCATAGGCTGGATGGATGACTCAAACAAACAACTGATATATATTTAAGTCTCAATTTCAGGGATTGGAGAATCCCAGATCAAGATTCATTCTGAGGCCTCTTCATTAGGTTATAGGTAGTTACCATACCCTTGTATGACCTTTGTATGATCTCTTGTGTGTGTGGCATGTGTGTGCATGTGTGTGTGGAGAGAGAGAGGGGAGAGAGAGAGAGAGAGAGAGAGAGAGAGAGAGAGGAGGTTCACTGGTGCCCCTTCTTGCAAGGACACTAATCCCCTTATGAGGGTGCCATCTTTATGTATGACCTAATTATCTTTCTAAAGGTCCCACTCTCCAAGTGTCATCACCTTGGGCATCCACCTATGCATCCTAGAGCAGAGCACAAACATTCAGCTATATAATGTAACAGGTATCCCTTTTAAATCTCTAAGTTGCACCTTGGGCCAGTCCAGAGGATTACAAACACACCAATTACTGGAAAAACTAGGTGAAGTGGTGTGAGCCAGTGGATTTCCTGTGAATTTCAGGCCAGTGGATTTCCTGTGAATTCTCACCATCCTCATTTCAAGTACCAAAACGGGGAGCAGAGGAGATGAGTAATATGTGCCTAGAAATATCTATCCCCTGTCCCCATTTTGGCTTAATCTCTCAGAACATTATCCTGTATTACATACCAATCCTACAAAATACCATAGGTATTGCTAGTTGTATAGTGCAGTAAACCTATATAGCTTCATATTTGCATAATGGGGATATCTACTTGTGGCTAGAATTTTAGTACTGGAATGTTTTAATGTGCCACTTAAAGGATCAGATAGCTGGTTTATTTCCTTTGGAATCTCATCTTTTTCTAATCAAAGTGCCCTTGTACAAACAGAAGCCCCAGCTGCAGTTAGCCCTCATTTCCTCCCTCTGCCAGGAAAACCCAATAATGAAAAGATAATCTCTGCTTCAAAAAGTGTCTCCAGGGTGGGTGAGATGGCTCAGTGGGCAAGGGTGCTTGCTGCCAAGAATAACAACCTGAGTTTTATCTCCAAAACTCCCACACAGTAAAAGGAAAGACTCCCACAAGTTTGCTGATTTACACACACACACACACACACACACACACACACACACACACAC